TTGAGTTGTGGTGCAGTGGTGCGAATCAACTCAAAACAGCTAAAAATTCAGCAGTTATTCCCCAACAATTACAAACTAATCTCTGCCCACGGCTTCCAGAGAGAGCAGACGAAATGGTTCTAAATTAAACATCCACCAAGTGGTGGCAACAAAACCAGTAACCAGTATGAAACTTTGGAATGCAAGGGTTTTTCCCAGACACGTGTAACTCGGTTTAAAAACAAAAAACAAAACAACCTATGGAGATGACGACTATAAAGGCATATTCTTGGCAGAATATTAAATTCTAAAAGCTTATAGGTTTAGCAAGGTGGTGGCTTGGCTGGTTTGTTTACACTGGTCTGAGACAATGAGAAACTTCTCTCAAGATAAGAGTTCCCACATCTGGACTGTAACTAATGCTTTTCAAGTGAAGATATGGAATGGTGGTTGGTAGCTGCTGGTGCTGGGTTGATTTTTTTCTAGAGTCCCAAACTCATGAGACCTAAAAAAGTTTAAGTGTTTGGCTTTTTGTTCTATTCGCATCACAACTGTCCTGTTGTGAATATTTTGTTCATCAATACAAAGTTAGTTGGCTTTTTTTTTTGCTCAACAAGAATGAAACTTCGTAATAATAATAAAAATAATAATAAAAAACAAGAGGAAACCGAAAGGGGAGGAGTGGGGGCCCCTCCCGGCACATATGTTCGAGTCCAAGTGCTCGGTCCGGCCTGCAGTCTGCTTGTGCCTTGTGTCACCCCCTACTCCCGCGGCCCCCTGCCCTTAGGAAGGACAAGATGGCAGGGGCGCCCTCCAACACCCGCAGAAAAGGCCTTCCCTTCCTCCTCCTCACTGGCGCCCTCTTGCCTCAGTCGTCAGAGATGGAGAGACGGCTGAAGATGGGCAGGCGCCGGCCGGGATCGAGGCTGGGCGACTCGGAGCCGCTGAGGCTGCCAGAGCTCAGGGAGCCACTCAAGTAGCTGTCGCGGTCCGACAGCGAGTCCGGGGGACTAGGGGGCGCATCGAACACGGGGGAGTCGGACAGGCGGCGAGGCAGCTGGAAGCTGAAGGGCGGCGAAGGAGGTGCAGCGGCACTGGCAGGGAGGGGCGCACTGGGCGGCGCTGGGGGCTGTGCGGGGGGCACCAGGCCGTGCTGCTGCTGCTGCTGGCTGCGATAGTAGGCGGCAGCGGCCACCGCGGCGAAATTGTGGGTCTGGATGGTGAGCGGCGTGATGAGGCTGCTCAGCTCCGGGCCAAAAGCAAAGGCATTATTGGCGCACGAGGCTGATGAGCAGGCGGCGCACGGGGCGCCTGGCGCCAGCAGATCCTCGGCGCCCCCAGTGCCGTACAAGAGGGCAGCTGCCGCCGCGGCCGCCGCCGCCGAGGTACAGCACGTCGGGGCGCCAGAGGGCGTGGAGGCTGCCGAGGCCGACGAGCAGGAAGAAGCGGACGAAGAGCAGGACGAGGCCGACGAGCAGGAGGGCGGCGGCGGCGTGCGCGATGTGGGGCTGTCGAGCAACAGCGGTGACTCCAGGCCCCCCGGGGGCTGGTGGTGGCCCGACGGGAAGCCCGAGAAGCTGAGGCTGTGGTGCAGCTTGGGCCGGGGCTCCCGCGGGAAGCCCAGGTGCAGCGCGTCGCGGGTGCTGAAGGTACGCAGATCGCCAGAAGGGCCCCCCGACGGCGCGGGCCGCCGCTCATCCGCGTTGTGGATGAAGTGGCAGCGCGGCCCGTAGGGGCAGAAACCGATGGTGTGGAAGGTTCGGCACAGCTCTGTCTTGTACTTGGGGTGGCGGGTCAGGCTGCGCAGCTCATGGAAGCCATGTGCGAACTGGCACTTCTCGCCGTACTTGCACGTGCCGCTCTCCTCGAAGGGCCGGCACAGCTCAGTTTTGTAGCGAGTCGAGTTGATCTGGGATCCGCCACCCCCCTTCTGCTGCTGCTGCAGGTGCAGGAGGTGCTGGCTGCGCTCGCCGTTCTCGCTG